CTGCTGAATTGCAGTTCCCACTGCTCTGCTGTAGGGGGAGTAAAACTGGCCCTGGAATCTAGAGCCTCAAGCCTGGCCTGGCTCCCACGTGGTGCTAGTGGCCCCAGGAAGGGTTCCCATGCCCACAGCAGACCTGCCTAAGTTCCTATGAACAAACTTGACCCCTGAGCTCAAACCTTCAAAGGTCAGGGAGGCCTTGGGGCCAAAGTCTAAGGAATAGCAAGAGCAATCTGAGGGGATGCTAATCCCGTGACCCCAGGGACCTCCAGGTGCCTTCTGGGTCCTGCATCCTCCCTGCCCATCCTTCAATTCAGAAAGGTTCCCCCAGTTCCTGCAGCATCTCCGAGAATCTCCTCCCCACCCTACAACTTCCCACCCCCACCAAGACTTGCCATGGGCTTTTGGCTGCCACGTGAGACTCTGCCCATGTCCATCTGGTAAATGCTGGTGCATATCCAAGGACCCCCAGGGGGGACATCAGAAGATATTGTTTAGAATGGTTTAGAACTTTGGGACCAGCAGTTGGCATAATGGCTATGTTGCTGGACTCCCACGTAGTCAACCACGGTTCAAGTCCTGGACCTGATGACTTAAAACTCATGCCAGGCAGAGCTCAAACCTTCAAAGGTCAGGGAGGCCTTGGGGCCAAAGTCTAAGGAATAGCAAGAGCAATCTGAGGGGATGCTAATCCCGTGACCCCAGGGACCTCCAGGTGCCTTCTGGGTCCTGCATCCTCCCTGCCCATCCTTCAATTCAGAAAGGTTCCCCCAGTTCCTGCAGCATCTCCGAGAATCTCCTCCCCACCCTACAACTTCCCACCCCCACCAAGACTTGCCATGGGCTTTTGGCTGCCACGTGAGACTCTGCCCATGTCCATCTGGTAAATGCTGGTGCATATCCAAGGACCCCCAGGGGGGACATCAGAAGATATTGTTTAGAATGGTTTAGAACTTTGGGACCAGCAGTTGGCATAATGGCTATGTTGCTGGACTCCCACGTAGTCAACCACGGTTCAAGTCCTGGACCTGATGACTTAAAACTCATGCCAGGCACATGTGCGTGTGTGTCCAAAATCCTGAGAGAAGAATGGAGGAGAAGGGATTGCGGTGTGGCCATCCCCACCGGTGGGTGATTTCTCGCTTTCTTTCTCTCTGGCAAGCGCATGTGTCTTACAGTAAAAATCTCTCTAAAAAAGAAAAGGCAATTATTTAGAATTTTTCTGACTAATAAAGGCTTGAGATAAATTAAAGAGCATGCGGGTCTGTTCCGTTCGGCGAGTACTTTAATAATACAACGAAATAATTATAGATACTCCCTGACATGCCAGGCTGACAATTTGAATTTGTGAATATGCTTGTGTGTGTATATATTTATCTTTCATAAAATGGTGTGATTCAGTTAAAAAAAATGAAAATTTTATTTAGATGGGGTTCAAGTTCAGTAAAGAATTCATAGTAGGTTTTATTCTGGTCTGTGGTCTAAAGTTCTATTTGGGACAATCTATTGAAAGTTGAGAGTCAAGTTTAATTCATTTTTCTTCTCTTCCTTTTTTTTTTTTTGGAGAGGTTTTTGCTATAGGGCGCGTGCGCTCGCCAGAGAGACAGAAAGTGAGAAATCACGTCCCCCTCAGGGGGGATGGCCACACCGCAATCCCTTCTCCTCCATTCTCCTCTCGGGATCTTGGGCACGCACGCACACATGCCCGGTGTGAGTTTTAAGCCACCGGGCCCGGGACGTGAACTGCAGTCGACTACGTGGGAGTCCAGCGACACAGCCATTACGCTAACTGGTACCCAAGTTTAATTCATTTTTGATATCCCGAGGGCTTAGGAGAGTGCTTGGCATTTAGTTAAGTGCTCAATAAATATAGATTAATTAAGTAAATGACAACATAATATACTGGGTCGTCGGAAAAGTCATGATGTATTTTTTTCTATGCAAAAATGCACCATGACTTTTTTGATGACCCAATAGTAAAAAAGGTATGAAAATCAGGCTGACGTTGTTAGGACTCTTAGCTATATGGCGGCAACAGTCTGGACCGGAACATGCGGGTGATCATGTAGGGACCCACATGCCTAGTTTGGTGGGTTTTGTTTTTGTTTGTTTTTTCAGGTTTTTGTCATAGGGTGCATGCACTCACTGGAGGGAGGGAAGGAGAGAGAGACAGAGACAGAGAGAGACAGAGAGAGATCATCCCCTCAGGAGGGTGCCCGCACTGCACTCTTTTCTCCTCCATGCTCGTCTCAGGACCTTGGGCACCCCTGCACACACGTCCAGCACGATTTTCAAGCTGCCAGGTCTGGGACTTGAATTGTGATGGGCCAGCACTTTAACCACCATGCCACCTGCGGGCCCCTAGCTACTTTTTGGGTAGAGTGTGTCCCAAAGCTAGTTAAACTCTGGGGGCTGTATAGCCCACTGTGTCCTAGCGCTTGATGACAAAGTGAAATGGTGGCAGAGCAGGGATTTTCTCTCCAGACCCCAAGCTCCCACCACCCTCATTCTCACGGACTCCCCACTACTCTGGAATCTCCCGGCAGACTGTTTGCAAACTCGCTCGTCCCTGCGGATTTCGGAAACATTAGTCAGGCTCACTGTAGTTTGCTGCTGGGTTGTTTGGATCGGGGATGTCCGGAGAAGCCTTTTCTGGTGCCACTTGTCTTTTGTTTGTTCTTCTTGAATACCTTATTCACCCAGTGTGAGTCTTCAGGTGGGCTCTCCCTAGGCAAACAGATAAAGTGGCTTATTATTATTAATTTTTTTAGAGGTTTTTGCCTGAGGGTGTGTGAACTCGCTGGAGAAAGAGACAGAAAGTGAGAAATCGCCCCCTGGGGGGATGGCCACATAGCAATCCCTTCTCCTCTATTCTCCTCCCAGGACCTTGGATACACACACACACACACACACACACACATGCCCAGTGTGAGTTTCAAGCCACTGGGTCCGGGACTCGAATTGTGGTTGGCTACGTGGGAGTCCAGGGACATAACTGCTATGCCAGCTACTGGTCTCTAAAGTAGATTATTGTTGCTTATTTATTTTATTCATGACAGAGAGTGTGTGCACATGAGAGAGTGAGAAAGAGAGAGAGCGGGGCCCTCTCGACAGTCCCACTGTACCACGATCCCCTTCCTCCAGGCCCCCAGCTCACGGGATCTTGGGCATCCAGGTATCTACTCCAGGGCAAGCAGAGGCCCAGGCCCATCGCAGCCCTGTGGCGTCTAGAGCTGCAGCTCAGCACGCTACCCACACCTGTGCCACCGAGGTCGGCCTGGTCTGTCACTGATCTGCCCTGGGCCCTCCAGTGTCGGGCCTTGCTCCGGTCGGAGGTAAATACACCAGTGTTGTGGCTTTCACTCTGGCTGAGTTCAGAGTTCCCCAGAAAACTTATTTCTTTTTGAGACCCGTGAAGATTTATGTAAGGGAAATCATGCCAACTAGTCCATCAAAGTCACGCTTTTATACAGGCATGCGTCAGTGCGAAGAGATTAGGTCACATGAACACAATGCACAATTCACGCCTTAGCTCCAAATTACTCAATTCATACTAACTCTGACAAAAGCTTTTAGAGGGCCAGCAGGTGGTGTGGAAATTAAGGCGCTGGGTCCCACATGCTGTCTGTGTGATTCAAGTCCCGGGCCCGCCGACTTGAAAATCACACTGGGCGTGTGTGCGTGTGTGTCCAAAATCCTGAGAAGAGAATAGAGGAGAAGGGATTGCAGCAGGACCATCCTCCCTGGGTGTGTGTGTGTGGGTGTGTGTGCGCATGCGTGCATGTGTGTGTGTGTTTTCACTTTCCCTCTCTGTCGCTGGCAAGCACATGTGCCCTATAGCGAAACAAGAAAAGAAAATTTTTATAGTTAAAATTACACTTGAAGTGGGAAGCTGGTAAACTTTGTGAGTCTGACATGACATGGAGCGAGAACATCACTTAGGCCCTGCTCTCCGATACTGCAGCTGTGGCCATGGAGAAACCCAGCCACTGCCAGAGCTGCCCGGGCAGAGGGATGGGCTTGTGGGAAGGTGGAGAAATGCCCTTGACCCACCCTCTGATCTCTTGCTGGTGAATCCCTCTGGCTAACTCAGCTGGCATCCAGCCAGCAAGGGAGCCTGGGTAATGTAGTCCCCAGGGACCGTCAGAAAATCACAGATCCTAGGGACCAGCAGGTGACATGGTGGTTAAGGTGCTGGACACTCTCACATGGCTGACCAAGGTTCAAGTCCTGAATCTGGTGGCTTGCTTTTTGACTTCTTCTCTCTCTCACTCTTAACCTCTGTCTCTCTCTGGTTAAATTAAAAAATAAATGAATGAATGAATAAAAATAAAATAATTATTAAAAAAAAAAAAAGAACATCACAGATCCTCAGGCCCTCTCATAATGACCACAAAGAGCATAATGGAGTGTATGTTACACAATGGATGTGCATTATGAAAAACATTTTGGGGGATAATCTACAACATAGGAATATTAGACTCTTCCCAGGCAATAGAAGGTAATTACCAAAGGTAATGGAGGCCTTCAGTAGAGTCCCTCGACTCATTCCAGGCCGGAGCTCCCTAAGGCTAGGCTGCAGGATGCTGTCAGCCTCTGGGACTGTGGCATCACAGAGCAATACGGGGGGCAGGGACCCTCTCCCACTGCACTCAGAGAAGGTGCATCTCAGTGTGCACAGGAGAGAAGAGAAGAACATGAACAGGTGCCTTCTCCGTACAGCCCCCTCCCTTAGAGACAGAGAAGGGCTTGGGGAGGGGCTGAGAGGTGTAAAGGGGTGGACTGGATAAGGAGCCCCGTGTTCCTAGCGCAGCTACAGAGGTGGAAAATAACCCTCAGCTGAGCCCCCGTCCCCTGACCAGAGGAAAGGACACTTTCCCATTGAAGGAGAAACTTACGTCACATACGACCTGCTGATGGTTTTCTTCACATTAACCAGAGGGGTGGTGCCTTTTGGATTTGAAGAGACCAGGGCAGCTATGGCCGAGAGTAAAACAGAGCAGGCATGAATGAGATGGGCCAGGATGCACGCAGTCATTTTTGAAATAACAGTAGTAAGCAGAAGTGTTTAAAAACAGCGAATTAGTCTCCTGTTCTTCAATTCACCTCTTTAGGGCCAGAATTCTGCTGTTGGATTTGATGGAGACCCACAGCAGCTCTGGAGAGGGGCTGAGGCAGGCCTCCATGTGACATTAGAATCCATTTCCTCATAGAAAACAGCAGCTTAGGGAAAGTTTTCAGGAAAAATCCCCTTGAGGGGCTTGAACTTTCTGTCACATGCCTTATGTAATGCTTTTTCTTGGAATAGGAAATATTAGTATTTTATGACCATCGTTCTTAAGTGTTTTACATGTTTTCAATGAGCATGGGGGGATATGCAATACATGAAGATTACTATGTCATTACATAACATATGTACAGAGAGTTGAATAGAAAATCTATTTAGATTCTCCTGCCTGCAGTTCTGTTAGGGACCTGCCGGATGTCCCCAGCTCTCTCAAATCTACTTGCAGTGAGATTTGCCCCTTTGTGTACTCATTTTCTTAGGGCTTCCTGCAATTGCCCTGAGCTGCAATACCACCGGCCATCGGTCAATGACTGACACCACCAAACCCTGGCAGCTCTGCTCTGCCAGACCCCAGAGATGCCCTGGGGTGCCGGTTGAGGCTCAGCTGTAGACTGTAGCCGGCTGTCTCAGCTTCGCTACGGTTGACATTAAGGGTCAGGTAATTCTTGGTGGTGGGGAGAGGTCTGTCTTTTGCCTTGTAAGAGATGAGCAGTCTCTGGGGCCTCTAGCCACACCAAACATGTCCACAGACATGGCTAACTGTCTCCTGGGGGTAAAAACCACTCCCTGTTGAAACCACTGGGCTATCAGTACCCTCTGTCCATCCCCAGTGGGAGTGAGAAAGGCCAAGTCAGGGCCCAGGGTTGCCCAGATCCCTGAAGACATTCATCTTTAGGCACCGATGTAATATAAAACAAATGCATTCCATTTACCGGGAAACAAGGGGGCGTGCAAAGTACTCTGGCCAATTTTTCTATTCCTAATATCCTGATGTCTTTGACTCACTGTGGTTAGAAGAATCAAAAGAAACTTATTCCTGAGAAACGGGGAGTCACCCTTGATTTGGAGTAGGTCCCCCAAAAGGAAGTCTTGCTGATCTGTGCGGTCTCCATACTACCCATGGAAGTTTGGCTGATGGACACGAGGACTCCCCTACCTGGCTTTGGTGAGGACCAGACCACCCACGACGGTCACACCGTGTCCCCCTCATCCTGAAAGTCCCTTGCAGTCTCCTAGTCTGCACCTGACCCGCTTGAATAAGCAAAATCTGAAATCCACTTTTTTTCCACTCCACCCAATCCCAAAACCACGAACGTCAAAATCCGACCCCATTTCTTTTATCCCACCTGTCACTGCCAAGACTTCATTTCCAAGGAAATAAGGGGTCTGATGCCCACTGACTATCCAACGGTCTGTCTTTGTTAGATAGATAGTGCCTAATGCTTGTATTTTTGAGGTTAGTATTAATGTCTTCTCCACTACTGAAGAGGAGAGTTCTCAAGAGTGAGGAATGGAGAACTCCTCCTCCTTGCACCCCTATAGTGATGCACCTCAAACTACGCTATAGTGAAGAACCAGTTTTTGTTTGTTTTTTTTTTTCTTTTTAAGTTCTCTGCAACCCATAAAAGATTAGTATTACTGTGAATAATTCAAGGGAATTAGTAGGCAAGGGTCAGGCTCTGGGATGTCATGGCAATAGCTTATTGCTGTAAGCGTTCCTAACGCTCACTCCCCATCTCGGAACTCATCTCACCGGGTGCTAGCAACAGTGTGGGGGCTGCAGTGGCCTGCAGACCACTCTGAGTAGCACTGCTCAGCAGGGCTCTCACAGTTAAAATCTTCTGCAACAGATTCTCCAAGGCCAGCAGGCAAAAGTCATCTGGAGGGCTTCTAAAAAAGGCAGACAGCTGGCCCCACCCCAGAGGTGGTGCTTTAGTAGGTCAGCATGGGGCCTGGAGATTTTCCTCTCTAACTAGCTCCCAGGTGGTGAGTCATTGCACCAAAGAACACGTGTTGATTATACCGCCCCCTTGTGGTGGGCTGTTCTCATAACAGCAGACCCACTAAGAACTTCTACCTTCAACCCGCTCCTCCAAAGCAGTGGGTCCCCACCACTGTGTGGTCACGCACGCTGAGCTCAGGGCTCCAGTCATGAGAGGCCAGAAGGGTCCATACCTTGGGACTGTCCTGGGCCCAGTTCCTGCCCAGGTGGCTGTGTAGGTGTTGCTGAAGGAGAACCTTGGGGCGATGTGCTGGGTGCTCCTGCAGCAGAAGGCCGCAGGGAGGGTCTGGGTGCTGTGGACGCTTGGGAGGGTGTGGACCTGGGTGACGATCCCGATGGTTGTACCTGCTGTCGAGGTGACCCAGGAGACAGCCTGGGCGGTGCGCTGGGCAGTGATAAGCAGGACGCTGGACTGGGTGGCAAGCGCTCAGCTGGGAGTGATCCAGGTGGCAAGTCAGTCAGGCAGTGTGGCGGCGATGAGACCAGAGGCAATGCAGGTGACTGCTCGGAGGAAGACCCGGGGGGCTCCACAGGTCGCTCACATGTGGATTCGGGCGCCCGCACAGCGGGGGACACGGGTGGGCCATGGCCACCTCTGCCATCCCCTGTGGGAGCTGTCTGCGTGTGAAGTTGTGGGGGTTCTTCTGGACGTGCTGGCTGTGTCTGGAGGCATGGCGGGCCGCGCTCCGGGCACTCGTTGCCAAGGGCGAGTTCTATCTGGCAGTAAACCTCTACCCGGGGGAAAATCACTCTCTTGGAGGGCGAATTAAGGTAAGCAGCATCTAGGAGAAACAACAGCACGGGTCACGGGTGCATTAGTGACCACTGGCATCAGCGTGGCATCTATGAGACACGGGTTCGCAGGTCATTTTCATAAACAGGGTGGGTACTTTCTAATGGCCTTCACATACTTGAGTTTATAGTGAGTAACAGCGAACATATCCGTTCCTGGCCTCTTGGAGCTTACAGTCTTGTGTGGGAGAGGCAGGTGAGGTTCACCAAATAATCTAAAGGTTTAACCAGGCTGGCTTCACGGTCTGGATCCCACATGTCCAACTGCACAGTTTGAGGCCTGGACCCATTAGCTGGGTAAACATACCGGGTGCATGTTTCTGTGTGCCCAAAATCTCAAAGGAGAAGGAATTGTGGTGTGACCACTTCCCCCTCTGCCCTCTCTGTCTCTGTGAGCCCTCATCAGAAACAATGTGAGCAAAGAAAGAATGGGAAAATATATTCAAAGTGTTAAGTGAAAAACAGTTTCAATCAACAATACTATACCCAGCAAGATTATCCTTCATATGGAAAGAATGGATAAAAACATTCTCAGATAAACAAGACCTGAAAGAATTTGCCAAGAGCAGACTCACTCTTCAAGAAGTTCTGAAAGGGGGACCAGCAGTTGGCATAATGGCTATGTCGCTGGACTCCCATGTAGTCAACCGCAGTTCGAGCTCTGGACATGGTGCCTTAAACTCACGCCGGGTGCATGCGCGTACGTGCCCAAGATCCCGAGAGGAGAATGGAGGAGAAGGGATTGTGGAGTGGCCATCCCCCCAGGGGATGATTTCTCACGTTCTGTCTCTCTGGATGTCATGGCAATAGCTTATTGCTGTAAGCGTTCCTAACGCTCACTCCCCATCTCGGAACTCATCTCACCGGGTGCTAGCAACAGTGTGGGGGCTGCAGTGGCCTGCAGACCACTCTGAGTAGCACTGCTCAGCAGGGCTCTCACAGTTAAAATCTTCTGCAACAGATTCTCCAAGGCCAGCAGGCAAAAGTCATCTGGAGGGCTTCTAAAAAAGGCAGACAGCTGGCCCCACCCCAGAGGTGGTGCTTTAGTAGGTCAGCATGGGGCCTGGAGATTTTCCTCTCTAACTAGCTCCCAGGTGGTGAGTCATTGCACCAAAGAACACGTGTTGATTATACCGCCCCCTTGTGGTGGGCTGTTCTCATAACAGCAGACCCACTAAGAACTTCTACCTTCAACCCGCTCCTCCAAAGCAGTGGGTCCCCACCACTGTGTGGTCACGCACGCTGAGCTCAGGGCTCCAGTCATGAGAGGCCAGAAGGGTCCATACCTTGGGACTGTCCTGGGCCCAGTTCCTGCCCAGGTGGCTGTGTAGGTGTTGCTGAAGGAGAACCTTGGGGCGATGTGCTGGGTGCTCCTGCAGCAGAAGGCCGCAGGGAGGGTCTGGGTGCTGTGGACGCTTGGGAGGGTGTGGACCTGGGTGACGATCCCGATGGTTGTACCTGCTGTCGAGGTGACCCAGGAGACAGCCTGGGCGGTGCGCTGGGCAGTGATAAGCAGGACGCTGGACTGGGTGGCAAGCGCTCAGCTGGGAGTGATCCAGGTGGCAAGTCAGTCAGGCAGTGTGGCGGCGATGAGACCAGAGGCAATGCAGGTGACTGCTCGGAGGAAGACCCGGGGGGCTCCACAGGTCGCTCACATGTGGATTCGGGCGCCCGCACAGCGGGGGACACGGGTGGGCCATGGCCACCTCTGCCATCCCCTGTGGGAGCTGTCTGCGTGTGAAGTTGTGGGGGTTCTTCTGGACGTGCTGGCTGTGTCTGGAGGCATGGCGGGCCGCGCTCCGGGCACTCGTTGCCAAGGGCGAGTTCTATCTGGCAGTAAACCTCTACCCGGGGGAAAATCACTCTCTTGGAGGGCGAATTAAGGTAAGCAGCATCTAGGAGAAACAACAGCACGGGTCACGGGTGCATTAGTGACCACTGGCATCAGCGTGGCATCTATGAGACACGGGTTCGCAGGTCATTTTCATAAACAGGGTGGGTACTTTCTAATGGCCTTCACATACTTGAGTTTATAGTGAGTAACAGCGAACATATCCGTTCCTGGCCTCTTGGAGCTTACAGTCTTGTGTGGGAGAGGCAGGTGTGGTTCACCAAATAATCTAAAGGTTTAACCAGGCTGGCTTCACGGTCTGGATCCCACATGTCCAACTGCACAGTTTGAGGCCTGGACCCATTAGCTGGGTAAACATACCGGGTGCATGTTTCTGTGTGCCCAAAATCTCAAAGGAGAAGGAATTGTGGTGTGACCACTTCCCCCTCTGCCCTCTCTGTCTCTGTGAGCCCTCATCAGAAACAATGTGAGCAAAGAAAGAATGGGAAAATATATTCAAAGTGTTAAGTGAAAAACAGTTTCAATCAACAATACTATACCCAGCAAGATTATCCTTCATATGGAAAGAATGGATAAAAACATTCTCAGATAAACAAGACCTGAAAGAATTTGCCAAGAGCAGACTCACTCTTCAAGAAGTTCTGAAAGGGGGACCAGCAGTTGGCATAATGGCTATGTCGCTGGACTCCCATGTAGTCAACCGCAGTTCGAGTCCTGGACATGGTGCCTTAAACTCACGCCGGGTGCATGCGCGTACGTGCCCAAGATCCCGAGAGGAGAATGGAGGAGAAGGGATTGTGGAGTGGCCATCCCCCCAGGGGATGATTTCTCACGTTCTGTCTCTCTGTCTGTCTCTGTCTGTCTGGCGAGCGCACGTGCCCTAACCCACTCAAAAAAAAAAAAAAAAGTTCTGAAAGGAGTGCTCTGCCAGGAAAACTAAAGACACACACAGAAATAAGAGAGCAAAAGGCAGCCAGAAAATGACCAACTTAATGCTAGGGACAAGAAATATCAATAATAACATTGAATGTTACCTTCCGTTCTTTAAACGGAAAGATTGGATCACAGTAACACTACATACTCAACAGAAGAGAGTTTGAATATAAGATTTAATTGGCGAAATAGAATTTTATGACTTTTGAGTAAAACATTACTGATTTTTTTTACTATGCTTTGTTTTCTAATTTAAGCATTTTACTTTCTTCCGAGTTGTTGATAGGTTCAGCAATTTGTTAAAATATTTTCTTGTTTGTTTCTTTAAATGGAAGCATAAACTTTTCTTCCTTCCTGGTCCCTCTTGAATTGGAAATATTTGGGAGTATTCTTATTTCGTGGCAGAAGGATTATTTACATAAGTTCAATAATGCCTGTTGCACTGAATCACAAATTGGAAATGCTCATTATTGGACAGGGCTTTGACTGAAATGTCATATCTGAAGATCAATCAGGAAACTATGGAACTAAGGTGGATCTCAAATAAGCCAGCAGAAGCTCTTGGAAAGATGGCCTGGCACCATAAATAGTTCTGCCTGGCAGAGAGGATTAGAGAAGATATATGAAAGAACTTATAACCTAAAATAACCTGGACTTTTCCAGCATAGCACTGTAACCAGTAGAGATTGCAAAAGAGCAACCACACCAGAGGATTATCTTTTTTTTTTTTTTTTTTTTTTTTTTTTTTTTTTTTTTTTTTTTTTTTTTTGATTTTTTTTTTTTGGGGGGGGGGCGCGCCCGC